GGAAGACCTGCACTGCCTTCGAAGTGCTCTAAGATAGAGAGAGAGTCTCCAGGTTCCTCACACTAGCCCCTTCCATCAGCAGTAAATCCACTCCAGGCAAGACGCCCCCCAAAGGGGCAAGGCCAGAGCCATGGGCATCCCTGCCCCCCAACCAGCAAAGGAGGTAACGTTACCCCTCCTGAAGGGCAGAATTCCTCCTCCCGTGGGGTGGCAGAGCTCTGCACTGCACCAAGCCCAGGGCTGGGCCTCCAGGGCTTGGGCAGCGTGTGCTATACAGACGAGACCAATGGAAGGGCCTGTGTTAAGCTGGAAGCAGGAGTTTCAGTGGATAACCGTAGGCAGTTTCCAGCTCTTTGTAACAGAGTGAAATATACAAATAACGTATATTTATTTATCGGCACATAATGACATGGAGCCACCTCCTGGGCCAACAGCACCATGTGACACATGGACCCTCCTGTCTCGGGTCTGCGTGAGCTGTGCCCCAAAATGGCTGCCACCCTCTCCCCCTCTCACGTATGTTCTTTGTAACCCCTTCTGTTCTGTCATTTTTTCCCTTTTGTTGCCAAGTCATGTTCTGCTTCCTCTCCCCCAGTGACTCTCCCCTGCCCTCCAAACTCCCCACTCCCTCCCACCCTCACCGCAGGCCTTCATGTTGTTGTGACTGGGGGGTCCCTTGGCATGCCCCACAGATGAGCTGAGCACCTCAGGAGCGGAGGCGGCTGCCTGTTTTGGGTGCTGCAGTGGTAGCAGGGAGGGTAGGCTGGTGCCTTTTGAAGAGCCATCTACACCCAGGGCTGCACCTTCGCAGCAGGTTGTTGAAGCAGAGGTGTCATTCTGTTTTCTTCACCCCTACTTCTCTTCTCCACTGTCCTGCAAGCCCCCTCTTGCCTGCTGTAGCACCTCTTGCAGGGCCTGCTGACCTGGCAGAGAAGTGTGATAGACCAGGTTAGGCCAGGAAGTAAAGAATATGTATGCGCTTAACTCTTCCGGCCAGTGACCAAGGGAATGTCCCTTCTCCCTGCTCCTAGTCTGAGGGTTGGTCTTTGGTAACGATGCTGTGATCCGTGTCAGATTTTCAACTGCCCCTTCTCATAGATGTGTATTCCTGCTGCGAATTGGCTAAGGCAGGGGAGGGAAGCCACTGCCACACGAACCAACTTCCTTCCCTTAAACATAAGGTAGGTGTCTCTGGCCACATGCTGAAGAGCAAAAATCCAGCAGCTCAGTCTCCTGAAGTCTAGCATAAAGAACAGGCTGAGTTGTGGCCCCTCAGCTTCCTCTACAACTAGGTTGTAGTTTCCAAAATGACAGCCAACGAGGACGTGAGTGAAAAATTGTATTTGCAAAGGCAACGTAGAGCCCTGGAATAGGAAGATCTCTATGGGCTGCCTGGTCCCGTCTGTAGGAACTCTTGAAAGAATTATGATGCTCACGCTTGTAAGGGTACATTGTTGTTGCACAATAAGCTGTTACCGCGTAGATTTAAAGCACAGTGGATAGAATTGTACCTGCCCTATTGTACATAAATAGCTGCTCCCGGAATAAGAGCTCTCATAAGTGCCCAGAATCTTATGGAAGCCAACATTTTCCATCCTTCCTTTTTTATATATGTTCCGAGTGACCAGTAAATAAGCCCTAGTCAACAGTGAAATTTGAATGTATTTTCATGTGAGTCATTGTTATTGTTTGGTTCATATGGCACTTTCTGGAGACGATCCCCTCGCCGCATTGTGTAGACTGTCACCTTTTGTCGTATCCTTGCTTATACTCTGAGCAACTAGGGAAACCGCCATAAATGTGGGTTATCAGCATTCCAATCCATTTTCTTTCGCATCGACTTGGATTTGTGCATTGTCAGAAACATCTGTGCTGCTTTAGTGGCATATAGTTTTCAAGTCTAATTAGCTGGCTGCTTGTAATCAGGACTATTTCAACTGTTGTCATTCTGAATGTTCTTTTTTCCTTTTTTTTTTTTTTCCTTTTTTGCCTTTTTTATTTTTTTTTTTTTTTTTTTTTTTTTTATACCATATTTGCCTGATTGACCTTTTTTTTTCTCTGTCTTTCTATCGGGCTGCTCCAGGAGCCATGGCTAATCATCTTATAACCAATGCTCTGCTTCGTCCTCATGGCACTAACAACCCTTATAATACATTGCTCGGGGAATCGGCGGTCTATAACAACCCTTCTGTCAGCATGTACAACACACAAGGTGTGCAGGAGTTTCTCTCTAATTTTTTCTAGTGAGAGTCCCATTTTATGTGGCTTATATAGGCCCATTTTTTCTTTTTTCCCTTTGTCCCCCCGTCCCCCTTTGTTTTTTTGGAACCGGGTATAAATAATCTCTCCTCTCATCTCAGTACATTTTTCCATTTTCCTTAGGTTTTTTCTCACTAGCCCTACCAAATGACCAGCTTCAGTTTGATAGCCACTCATCAGATCCATTCAAATATCTGTGGTGGTTTTGATTCCTTTAGTTTTAGTCATCGGTGTGTGTTTTGTCCACTGTATCCATTTATCGCTTTGTTGTCAGTTCGTTTCTTTGTTAAATCATTCATTTTAGAAAGAGGAGCACCTTTCAAGGTAAGTGAGGTCAAAATGGCCTTTGATACCAAAGCTACTATTGCTTTTGGAATAGCATATAGAAAAATAAATTGTCAATAGCTCATCAATGTATCTATCAGAGATTATGCATTAAAAAAAACAAACACCCTTGAGCTCTAAGAGGGATATGGAACCAGAAATCTAGACTGATTCCAAAGAGAGCAGAGTTTAGAGTGGAGTAATAAATGTATTGTCATGTAAATAAATGCAAACTACATGTGCTTTAAGGAGACCAAATAAGAGCTCCAGGAAACTAGAAACTGGAATCAAATAGCTGCAAAGAGTCAGCTGGACCTAGTCTATAAGATTCTACTGCAAAAATCATTCCCTTGTGACCTATATATTTGTCTTCTTTATTTGCTCTGGTTGCATGAGTAGACCATGTTTGTAAATGAACGTCACGATGCTTTTTGTTATAGATAGGTCTATTTACAAATGATTTGGGGAATAAATCTGGTACTTGGACGCTTCATCAGGTTGCATCTGTTAAGTTTGATAGTTCAGTCTTTTATCCATTTTTCCCCCCCTAGACAACTGAATCATTGGAGAGTAACTCTGCTTTCAAACACAAATACTTTCTAAAATGTCAACTCTCTTTATTTGCTCCTCTTCTAATTAAGGTGTCCCTTTGCAGTAAGGGGTCTCCTAAGAAAGTGAATAAATAACGGCAACAGTGCAAGCAATAAAGATATGTTGTAATATGCAGCATTGTTTATGGTAAAATTATATATTGACTTGTATCATTAGGGTCTTTTAATTCCAACCGCAAAGGGGAAAGCATATGCATTTGACCTTTTTTCTGTTCATAAATTTCTTGAACCGTACTAACTTCTCACAATAAATTAGATTGCACTAATTCTTGTTAAAGGAACTAACATTAAGTGTGAATTGCTCTGAATTTTAAGAGTTTGCTATATCACAACTTTTGATTTTCTGTACAGTTTTGGTATGTAAATATTTATATTTTCTTGCTGGAGAAGTGTTAAGGTTGTTACTGTTAAAAAGATGCTATGCTTTAAGATTAACATCATTTTACATCCGCTTTCAAAACTAGCCAGGGGAAGTTTTAAACTGGGTTATAGAGGTACTATCTGGATGGCAGCAGGAAATGGCGAGTCAGAATTTGTCTTATTGTAATCCCCAGTTTTCTTGGCTGTGTGTCTCAGCTCTACAAATGTGCTCAGGGATGAAATATGACAAAAAGTTTCTGCTAGAAAGTGCATTTAAAAAAAAAAAGGTCATCTAATTTTAAGGCTCAGCTGCTAATTTTGTTATTTGCACTGAGTAGAACCTCATTCCACAAATAGTCCCTTTGATTTTAAGGTGTTACTCAATACAAGGGAGCAGAACTGGGGCCAGAGAGGTTATAAGTATGCTAAAAGCAGACCTGTTCAGGGTTCAGTCAATAGAAATTAAAGAGAACTCCGTGAGTACTGATGCTAGTTAAGCCACTGGATATTTACCATTGACTTCAGTGGGAGCAGAATTGAAGTCGGTATTTCTGGGAGACGACGAGTTTATTGATAACCATAAATATATCACGGGAAGTAAGAAGTGTAATAGATATTGCCTTCGAAACTAGGTGATTGTCTCTGGGCAGGAGTTTCTTCGTAGTGTTTGATGTATGTCCCTATGAATTTTAGAGGAGTCCATATTGCAGCTCCAAGTTAGTAAATACAGATTCCACAAAAGGCCTTATGAATCCCATGGGATTCATGCATACTGACCCAACAGCCAAACTGACGGAGCCATTGTGATAATCTATTGAGTCAATAACACATTTTATAAATATCCATTCGGTGCCACTTAAGCATGGCTTCGTGCGCTTCCCATGCACTACAAATTGTCACCGCATTTGGGTTTGTCTTGACTAGGATTTAATGGTTACAGCATGCTAGAGAACATCTTCTAGCTAACATGTTCTAAAACTCTAATGTAGACAAGGCGGTGGCTTCTTGCACCTCCCTCTGAAACGTCTGGTATTGGCCATTGTCAGAGACAGGGCACTGGGCTGAATGAACCTAGGGTCCAAACCAGGGCAGCAATTTCTGTGTTCCAGTGTATGTTAGCTACCTTCTCTGCTCTAGACTTTTATAATGTGCTAGCTAAAACATTCTAGCCAAATGACACTAAATCTTAATCAAGTCAAGCCCTTTGGATCTGCTATTTCTGGGCAGGGAATCTCTGCAGCTGCTCTCCCTTGCAAAAGCAGAGTTGAGCACTGCTTGCGGGAATCTGCTTTCACAAGTATTTGACATCAGGGGGAGCTGTGTATAGCGCACTTGCAGACCACATGCCCACCTAGCACTCTGTACTGCAGCACAGTTTTGTCTGAGAACAGGTGTTTGCCATTAGGATCCAAAGCCCATTGAAACCAATGGAAAGACCCTTCAGGTCAGGCCTTAGAAGTCAGTGGTGAGACTCTCAATTCCTTTGATGGGATGGGTTTGGCCATAAAGGAGTGAATGAGGTAGTAGTTGAGAAATTGAGGGGTTTGCTGAACCATAGAGGTTGCCACAATTTGGACCTGAGAGAGGAGGTGTTTTCACTGGATAGACTGAAATCAATTTGAGTCTTGGATAAATGATGGGTGTTTTATAACAGCTTTTGTGAAAGATCATTTTAATAGAAGAAGGAAATAAGATAACATAAATGAGGTGTGCCACAAACTAATACAAAATGGGAAATTGAAAGTTAACACTTCATCCTCATCTTTAGTGTGTTTGGTTTAAAAGCAAACGCAAACAAATAAATAAATGCTTCGTTGCAAAAGGTTTTAAAATGCCAGCACGCCCTGGATGAACAAAACCCCACAGTAACAAAACAGTGTGTGCACAAGATGGAAGACACAATAGTTTAGCAAGGAAATGTGTTTCAATTTCAACTGCCGGGGTGGTTATAACTAACAGTAAGTAACAACATTCATTCTAATGGCATTAAAGGTGTCTGTTTTTCTGAGTGGGGATTGCCAGTTTAAACTTTACATTTCCAGATGTTTATTCTTGATTTGTGTTGCACCCTAAAAATGTAAACTGAGATGGAAAAAAATTCAAAAAGGGATCTTTTTTAAAAGTAACGTTTATTATTGTGCTCAAAACATTTTTTTGTCTAAAATGTCAGTATTTTTTAACGTGCAACAAACCATGTAACAGATTCATGTATTCTGGGCAGTGGAAATTATTTCTGTTAACTCTTTTTTCTGCATATCATCAATTTGCTTTTTACTCATGTTTCTCCTACTGTCGCTGTAAGCTTACTTGTTGTTTTTTCTTTCCTTTTCTTCATGCTGTCGTTTAGAGCCCTACAGAGAGACAAGTATGGGAGTAAAGCTAAACATTGCATATCAAATGTAATTTTTTTAGTTCACTTTTATTGCATCACATATAGATGATGTAGTTATTAAAAATGGTTCATTTCTCACAATTCTGAAAACAAAAGAATAAAAACCATATGGATTAATATATATATAGTTATATTATATATATTGATACAGATTAGATGCTTTTGTTGTCTATTTTCTTTTTTGTGTCATTTACCCAACATAGGTTCTAAGTCTCGTGTAACTGTGTGTGTGTGTGTGTTACATTGTTTTAAATTAAACATTTTTATTTGCAAAGTCATAAACCTTTTATCAATTTATATGGTATATTTCATTATGAAACTTACTCTATTTCAAATGCAATCCATCCACTTTATTTTCCTACAGAATCTTCCAGCCTCCAATTCTATGCATTGGCAGCAGAAATAACAAGCAGTGTCTTCATGCATAAGTTTCTCAGCCATGACCATCAAGCAGACACTGTAGTAACAATCACTCATTACATACAGTCCTTTAAAAATATTTGCTTTTTATTTTCCTTAAACGTTGTGGATCATTTACGGAGACCTTCTAACATGAAAATAAATGGCTTTGTTCTATGTCTGTGATGGCTAGTTTATTTTATGCATAACTTTCCTTGTTTGTTTGGAAATACATGATACAACAATATACTGTATGCACCAGAAATCCAAAATAGGGATGACATATTCAGGACATTTCACTCAAAGAAAGAACAAAGTCTGCAGTAGCACTTGCCAGTCTTCGATAGATATCCTGAAAGGACTGCATCACAGATATAGACTGAATCCTATATTTTCAGAAGGTACACTAGCAGTGTATTAAGAGTTTTTCTTGCTGATGTGAATGACCATTAATCTTTGTTGTCAACACAGAGCTGCTCTAATCCACCACTGCTGGTTCAGTGTTGTCTGTGATTTTTGGCAGCATCTGAATGCACTAACTGAAAAAACACATGGAAAGTTTCATACAGTCTCATGTTGGGTGTTCATTCTAGTGATCACAATAGTCATTAGCATGATAGCTTAACATGCCAGGACCCGATTCTCCTCTCACTTAAACTGGATTTACTCCACTGGCTTCAAAGCAGTTACGCTTTATCTACAGTGGTGTAAGTGAGTGAAGATTCAATTCCCTGGTTTTTATTTACAACGTTAGTAGGCTTATGGAAATGTATATAGTTCATTAAATAGTTTCAACAAAACCAACTCATTCCCAGAAGGCACTGGCCTAGTTTCTGCAGTTATATATGTATTTTTTTCCTGTTGTAGGTCAGAAGTCCTAACATTACAGGGATACATTTTCAAAATGGCAGGCAAGCTTATAACTGGCTGACTCATGCAAATGGGAATTATGTGACTAAATACCCAAGCAGCCCTGATGAAAATGCACCCCATCAAATCTACAGTGCCCATAATCCTTACAGCATGCACTGTCCCTGCTATTGAACAAAGCTACCTAATGAAAAAGTGAAACTCAGAAGCGGCTTTTGAAAGAATATAGTATACGGAGCTTAGCAATAACAACGCTCACAGAACTGTAATCCCTAGCATAGGACTATGATATAAAATTCACAGCACAGCATCATGCAAATAATTTTGGTCATGCCCTTGTAACAGAAGGGATGTGATGTATAATTTTAAAAAATCAAACACAGATACACAAGCTAGTCACCATGAAGCAAAAATTATAAATTATATCCATGCAACTCCATTGCATCAAATGGAGTCGCATTAAATGTAAGGAAGGTAAGAATTTTCCCCCCAAGATCTCACGTATGCAATCAGTTTACTAAACCGTGTTTTGGAAATGGGCTAGCTACGCTGTAAATACAGGTCCGCCGCTTATGTAACTTGTCATCTTTCCCTTGAAATCAGTGGTGCTAGGACAATTTATACCAGCTGAACATCTGCCCCATAGATTTCCTAGTTTTAAGGGACATATAAAAGAAGCTGAGATAGCATTTGGGAGCAGCTATGTGTGATATGAACAGGAGCTATTTGGAGAGGGGCTGTTCCTTCACTTAAGCTACTGACAAATCCAGTGCAATACCTGATACCGGATATCATTTTCAGTGGAAAAACCTTAATCTTATTAGCTAGAGCTCTTGTTCCCATGTAAAAGATTATTAAGCTTTTTTGTTATCAAACCCAATCTAATTTTTTTTTAATTTTTAATTTTGTTTGATATCAATTTTTACACAGCTGCTGTGTTAACGTAGCAACACAGTGCAGCACTGATTGATTAAGACAGTGTGATGTTTGTACGAGTCCTGCGCGAATGTCCTGTTTTGCCCAAGTCACCCTCTCTTGTGTGATGTTTTTCAGAGGGGCTTCTGAACAATGCCAGGGATACAAGTGTCATGGATACTCTACCACTGAATGGTAACCACGGCAACAGCTACAGCATCGCCAGTGGCGAGTACCTGAGCAACTGTGTGCAAATCATTGACCGTGGGTATAACAACCACACCGAGACTGCCCTAGAGAAAAAGATCCTGAAGGAACTCACCTCCAACTACATCCCTTCCTATCTGAACAACCATGAGCGCTCCAGCGAACAGAACAGGAACCTGGTGAACAAACTCGTCAACAACATTGGCAGTGCGACCGAGGACGACGCCATCGTCCTCGACGACGCCACCTCCTTCAACCACGAGGAGAGCCTGGGCCTGGAACTCATCCACGAAGAGTCCGACGCCCCCTTGCTGCCGCCGAGGGTTTATTCCGCCGAGAACCACCAGCCGCACCACTACACCAGGAGACGGATCCCGCAAGACAACAGCGAGAGCTTTTTCCCCTTGCTAACCAACGAGCACACAGAAGACCACCAGTCGCCCAACAGGGATTCTCTGTATACCAGCATGCCCACGCTGGCTGGCATGCCCGTCACAGAAAGCGTTACCACCAGCACCCAGACCGACCCCCCCACGGCCAAAAGTGGTGATGCCGACGATGTGTACTACAAAAGCATGCCAAATCTAGGCTCCAGGAACCACGTCCATCAGCTACACACTTACTACCAGCTGGGGCGAGGCAGCAGTGATGGTTTTATAGTCCCACCGAGCAAAGACGGGACTTCCCCCGAAGGGAGTTCCAAAGGACCTGCTCACTTGGTCACTAGTCTATAGAAGATTAAGCAAAAATGTAAAACAACCAACATCCCCTCCCTCTCCTCCCTAACACCTGGTTTACTGTTCTGAGTTAATACAAGCAGTGGTAATATTGTGCGTACTCCTAAATCTTCGTGCTGTTCTAAAAAACAAACAAACGGTCAGACTTTTTTTTTTACTGGAATTTTTAGGCCAGCCCGGGGAGAATAATAACTGATGAAATTCCACCCCTTTCCTCCCCTCCCTCTCTCAGACAGACTTCATTATGTTAATGAAAGAGATACAACAGATAATGGCACACTTCGTGGCCTTCTCGAGTTATGCTGTGTTTGTTTAAACATCCTTGATGCTCTGTTGCTACTATTACTGAGGACCTGATTTAAAACAAAAATAAAAGGCCAAAACGTGCATTTGAAACTAGTAGTGATGACGCATCTCGGTGGGAGTGCTGCACAAAGAACAAACAACAACAAAAAATAGCAAAACTGTTTATTATGAATCTGTATCACATAATGGTTTTTGGTCACTCACAACTTGATTTAACTGCAGCGCGCTTAGCTGTGGGAGCAAACAAAACAAAATCTAATGAAACGGAAGGGAATTCTAGAATTATATATGCTACGCGCATATTTTATGTTTTGCTGTATTAACTGATGATAAAAAAACTAATGGCAGAAAAAAAAATTGAACAATTTCTATGTAATGTACAGATACTAGCATTGCACATATAGTCTGCTTTTTGTTCCTCCAGAACTTGCGTCCCTGTTAATGTAGTGGAAAAAAAAAAAGAACTTTTTCTGTTGTGCTGGTCTTGCAAATTTGTCTACCAGTAGGAGCAAGGTTTTTCATAAATCCTTTTTTGCCATTGTTTTCTTTAAAAATTTCACTGGGCAAAAAAAAAACAAAACAAAACAAAAAAACAAAAAAAAAGTCACTTTCTAAGGCTCGTATTCTAGTAATACGATCACAAATTCTTTCCAACCAATGGAATTTTCTTTTTCTCATGCTTTCTCTTTCTTCAGTCGGTGTATTGCCAACAGAAATTTTGCAGATTAGAGCAGGGCAAACTTTATGTTTACAGTGCACAACCGATAATAATAATAATAATATGAAGCGTATTTGGCAAGCCGTCCCTCACCCAGGCAGTAGGCACGGTACTAGAAGCCAAGAGATCTCTTATAGTTATAGCTGGGCTTCTGCATGTGAAAACAATATCCCTGTAGGAGTTAAGGCCTCAGTCTGGTTCCCAATCTAGGCACATGTACTGCAGTGGTTAAAAAAAAAAGAAATTTGACTGTCTTATAACAAGAATTTGAAAACCAACTATTTTGAAGTGATTAAAAAAATCCTCTGTTCATTAGTTTCCTAACAGGAAATTTATTTATTTGACAGGATTTGAAGTAATGTAGGCTTTCCGGAGGTAAATTAGCAGCACAGGTTATAATTTTTTTTTAATTTATGATCCATTTTGTATGGTCTCAAAGTTGAATGACCTCATTACTAATATTTGTTGTAAAAGTGAAACTTGTTTGCCAACCAATAAACAACTGATTAAGATTTAGAAGATACTGGATGTACTGTACGACTAAACTTTCTCTTCATTTTTCTCTCCCTTCCTGTCTTCAGTACGAGAGTTTTGATTCCTTTAGGCCACGGGTGAGCAGAGCCAAGGAAAGGAGCCCTAGATGAATAACTTAAGCACAAAAATTATATAGCTATGGCTGACTGGAAGGATCTAGATAATCTAGCTAGGTGTACTTTGTCTTGGGGTAGGGATGAGATGAAGTGAGCCTGCTTTTTAGCGGGTTACTGCATAGGTCTAGTGGGTTTCTACTGTCTAAACTAGCCTATGACATGAAGATAATTTGAGTACAGTATTTCATGTGTTGTACCTTTTTAGCACTGCAATATCCATTATATCTTTTTGGTACTTTGGTTCTTCTGATGTTACAATCTGCTGGTAGTGTGGCAAAGAGTAAAACAAGTCCACATTAGGTCTCCCTAGCCACCCTTTGTGGTCTTTACATTTTAATGGTGTGGACCAATGAGAAACAAGTTATCTAAAAAAAACCCACTGGATCCTCCCAACTATTCCATGGTCAATTTCAGCCACTTTACAAAGACCTCCAGTTTCTAACAGGAGCTTGATGGTCCCTCCGAGTATTTAACTGGGAAGACATATATAAATTACTTTCCCAATCTGGGGTGTCTCCTTTATTTGTGTTGCTTGCGAGTGTATTGCCATACCAAATTCTCCTCCAACTCACCTTGAAATTAATTTTTGAATAGAGCACAATTATATAACTTTCCCAAAGACAAAATATGTAAGTTAGAAAAATCAACACAATAGAACAGAAAGATTGACAACAAAAATAAGTGCCTCAGGGCACACTCAGCACTGACTATAAAGTGACTCAGATGCTAATTCTCATAGAGCTGTTGTGCATTGCTCTGTCAAGGTCTGGTCCTGCTTCCATGCAAGTCAGTGGCAAAACTCCAATTAACTTCAGTGAGAGAAGAAGGACTTGGGGGTGGGTAGGTGATGTCTCCATTATTGCATGCTTTCCCTGTTCGATGAACAAAATATGTTGGCTACACAGTTATAGACTATAGGCCACATTCTGTTATCCTTTACTCACCCTGAGTAGTACTTTATTCTGCAAGCTGCTGTACTGACTTCAGTGGCATTACTCCTGAAATAAAGTAGTAATCAACATGAGTATTTAAGGGTATTAGACTCTGGCCCTGAGAAATCCCAAACAACACAACACCACACACTACTCGTTATCTGGGTGGCTTCTGCTAGCCACTTATTCAGATTGGAAATATATGCTGAAGGGAACCCCATTTTTGAGTGTAGGAGGTAACCCCAGAGAGCTGGCTGCAGACGCTAGATTTTACACTCAATAACAAGCAGCATTCTACTTCAATGCCTAGCAGTTGGGAACAGTTGTCTTTGTAACATTGTGGGAAACATCTACAACCCAGTCTTCCCTCTTGGTCTTGATGCTGCCAGCCTGATGCCCTAAAACTTGCTGCCCTTTTTATTATTATGGGGTCAGTGTGATTGAGACAAATGTCATGCTGTAGATTTACGCATGCAAAGGTAAAGACAATTTCAGATTCTCCATGGACATAACTTCAGTGCAGCGAGTCAAGTGGACACTGTTGATGATCTACTATGCTTGAATTATATATATTTTTGAGAAGGACAAAACCTTCAACAGCAGACTCCCAAAATGCTTGTAGAGGGACATGGCAGACTTAAATTCATGCAGAGGGTAAGATCTTTCACAGTGATTGTTGTCATAATAAAAGGCCAGTGGTTAATATAGGTGGCATTTACTGGTGTGTCTGATGTAGAACAAGAACTCATTTATGGTTGATACATTGTTGTATCAATGTATCCTAGTGAAAATTTTATCCTTGTGATGTTGGCAAGGTCATGGTCTCCCTACCGTATTCATTCCACTTCCCCTTTATTGAGGACTCAACAGTCTTCCTTCCCCTCATCTCTCTTATTTTCCCTTCATTTGTCAATCCATGCTCTCTCCTCTAACTTCCCTCACTTCTCAACTCTCTGGGTACAGGAAACATTTCATTTTACACTTGTCTATATTCATCCCATGCCAACCTTGCATTACAGTATCCATTCTTATGGATGTCTTACAGACATTGAAAAGGTTGACTCACAAAACAGAGGGGATAAAAATGCTATTTACGTAATTAAATTAATCCAACATAGTTTTCACAGTCACAGAAACGTGGGGCTGGAAGGAGACCTTAATTCCCTCAGCACTGAGGCAGGACTAAGTAAACCTAGACCATCCCTGGTGAGTGTTTGTCCAAACTGTTCTTAAAAAACCTCCATTGATGGGGATTCCACAACCTCCCTTGGACGTCTGTCCAGAGCTTAACTCCCTGGGAGTTAGACAGTTTTTCCTAATATCTAACCTGAATGTCTCATGCTGCAGATTAAGCCCGTTACATCCAGTCCTACTGCCAATGGACATGGAGAACAATTGATCACCATCCTCTTTATAACAGCCCTTAATATAGTTGAAGACTGTTATCAGGTCCCCCCTCAGACTTCTTTTCTCAGGACTGAACGTGCCCAGTTTTAAGCCTTTGTTGCTTGGTTTTATTTCTTGACCTTTACTTTAAGGCATGGTCCCACGTTGTGTCAACCATTTGGACACTGACATGGTGAAGGCTACTGTATGCTGACCTACAGTCGCAGCACCATGGATTATCCTGTGTCAATGAGTACCGATCTTAACTGAGCTACAATGTGTTGATGTCATCTGCATAAGCTGCAGTACGTAAAATTGAACTCTGAAGTTCATAAATTCAGTCCTTGGAGTCTGAAAATTTCTGCATGTAGCAGTGAGAACGTCAAAGCTGCTAAGCACTTTCCAAGTATAAGAATATTTTGAATACAAAAAACATTTGGAAAGCACAGCAGATAAAAATAACTGAAGTGTGTGTTTAGATGTGTGTGTGCACACGGGCATGCCTGTGAGAGAGAGACAACAGTCAGCAGCAGTGAATGCTACAGTTTCAGCTATACATTAGTTTATATTTTAACATGCTCAGAACTTTCCAAAACAGGAAGCTTTTGGGCTGAATTTGTATGCTTTGCCTATACTAGAAGGAATTTTGTTTCCCAAGGCTCTGAAAAAATGCATCTGCCTTTTTGATTTATGGGGAAATGAAAAAAGAAATACATCTTTCCAGCCTAAAAATACCTTGATCACACTTAAAGAAAACAAAAGGAGGGGGTCAGGCTTCAACAAAAAATGGATAAATGGATGGACGCTCCCACTTTTTGAAAAATTTGGTCTGAAGTTAGGTTCCTAAATCCATTTTTAGGTATCTGAATAAGTGGCCTGATTTTCAACAGTGACTGAATTCAGTGGAGCTGCTGACGGCTTTGCACCTTTGAAAACTAGGCCTTTTACTTAGGCCCCTAACTTCAGACATCCCGTTTTGGAAAAATCTTGTTCACAATCCTTACCGGGAGTGCTTACTTTGCTGGGATTGGGGGAAGAATGAAAAGCATTATATGGTGTCTGCTTTGTGATTTTAGATAGCCCTGAGCAACAGGCAGTGGGTAAGCTGCATTCTCCAGGAATAGCCCTGGGAGGTGCTGTGATGCAGGGATCCTTGTAATTTGCTGCTGGGCTGCATGTTAGAGAACCGAACCGACTCCACCCATTTCCCATCCCATCCCTCCCAACCAACCTTCTCTGATGGGGAAGCGGAGTGTAGACAGCGATTACTTCCATGTAGTTCTTTGTGTGGGCATGTTGCAGAGCAAGCTATAGGTAATTGACGTGACAGCTCGCTGGCACTCACTAAGATTTCATCCCCTCTGTCTATAGGCTGACTGCAGATTGTCTCTGTCCGGCCTGTTTGGCATCAAGGCTGCTGCAGAGATAATTTGCATTAGAGAAATCGTGAAAATCTGGAACTCTAGAGAAAAAATTAAAAGAAGGCTGTCAAGAGCTTTTATAAATATTTTACTTTCCATTCTCCTCCTCTCCCATCAGGGCTGTCTCAAATAACATCTGGCAGCACTGGCTTCTAAATGTCTCTTCTGCAGCTGGGGATCAGTAGTACGCAGCCGTAGTATGGCTACATCCCCTCTTCCTGTCAGAGCACCCCAAAACTGCAGACAGGAAGGGGCAGAGGTGTAGGATTTACTATGCTGGGCCTATGCCACCAGGCAAAACCCCAGGCGGCTGCCTAAACTGGCTTCCAGTTGTCCAAAGCAGGAGGGCTGGGGGCCAGGATCTGGCCCGAACTAACTTAATGTATAGCTGCTTATGTAAAAATAGCGCAGCTACGTAATGTTACTGGAAACTGAATTGCACCGCCAAGCTTTGCAATTGTAATAGTGCATCCTTAACGTAGCAGTCGCACTGGTTTCTTGCATCACACACACACCTGCGCAGAACAGCATACACAAAACAGAACACCCTGCAGACTTCCACAAGAAACAGGAATAAAAAGATACCTTTCCCTTCTAAAAACTGGCTATGGAGACCCTAAGAGCACACAAGCTTGAACTGCGATCACTGCTAGTGTCCCTCCTCCATGAAAAATAACTGAAAAGGAGGCAAGCTCATATTTATTTGTAGCTATTTAACCTCACTTGATGCTGATTTTGGTTAGTGACTATTGCAGGGGTGAAATGTTATAAGATATTAATAAGCCTAGAAGTGTAATGCAGTCTGGGGGTCTTCTTTATAATTCTGAACATCCCAGGGCACAACATTGAAATCAGATCATCTTGTTTTGTTAAGCACTGATTTTTATTTCCTCTGCATTGTTGTTTTGAGTCTTTGAAGTGGAGATCAGCAGAGACAAAATTAACAATAGCTCTGTGATCGGGGAAACTGTTGACCATTCCTGATACGTCATTGAAGTTAGGTCAATTTACACTATTTTCATCTGGAAGAGCAGTTGGTCTGGGATCAAAACAACCAGAGATTTGCATACTCCCACAGCAGTCAGTGAGCCAGATCCCTAGTTGATATATGTCAGCCTCACACCACTGAAATCAGTGTAGGTCACATTGATTGACACTAGCTGGTTATCTTTCAAAACTGCTCTGCTCCAAAGATTTGGACAAAATTTGATGCACTCTGAGTACACTGTAGGCCTTCTCATACAGTAATCACTACACATGTGGATATCCCTGTGACCTACTCAGGAGCTCTGGTGTGCAGTCATTACAGGATTGGAATCAGAGGGAGTACTCTAAAATGGCTCTGTGTAATTGTGTGTCATATGGAAAAGGGTAAAAATCACTGAGAGCAACTTCCTAGCACCTAGGAAAGGTGCTCTTTTAAGCTAGCAGACACAAGCATCACTCCATGTATATAACGTTTTATTTGTAGGATAAGGAAAATCTGGAACGATAGAGAAAATATTAAAAACGCTGTCAAGAGTTTTTATAAATATTTTACTTTCCATTCTCCTCCTCTCCCTTGTCCCTCCTCTCTTCCCACCAATACCAGCAGAGGAGTTTAAAACAGTATTTGTTTCCCTGCATGTTTCGTCATCATTCATTTGGTTCTTCTTTCTAATATAGCCCGATAGAGCAGCATGCATCTATAGTCTTCCTCTTGTCTTCGCCCCAAATGTATACCAGAAAGTAGCATGCAGCTAGAAGCCAAACCCAAGTGAGAATACAATGTAAGTGTAGAATAATACGTGTAATGTGCACAGCTCAGAAGATGTTGCTCAAAGCGTATGGATAGAGCCAATGCCACAATAAGCAGCTATTAGGGTTGGTTCAAACACATCTGGGACCTCTTCCAAAACCATTCACTTGCTCCCACAGCCTGGCAACAAGGCGGGGTAATTCCCTCCTCCTCGCTGCCCTGAATTTGCTCTGCGATGCCAGCTGTGTGCGGGGGGACAGGGAGAGAATGGGTGATGCATGTGTGTGTGTTTGGGGAGTAACTAGGGGTATGGTGGATGACGTTCACCTGTTAAAAAGGAAGAAGAGGACCCATGATTTGTCCCAGGTGGTGCTGTGATAAAGGGGAGACCACATGGTCCCCAGAGGGTTTGAGTTACAAACCCAGAGGCCTCAGTCGGTACAAAGCAACTCATATACCTTACAGTGCAGCAGCAGTGCCTGAGCAGTAACCATCACTCTAGCATTTCAGCCCGTTCCTGCTGTGCTAGGGCCAATTCAGCTGGAGGTTTGGTACCAGTGTCTGAACATCCCCTGGTGCCAGACGCAGACGTCCGTGGAGATTTAGTCTCCCTGAGGAGGAGCAATAAACAGCTTGACGTTCAGTCAACAAAACTTGAACCCAGCGTGTGCGTTGTTACGGACATTCTGAGCGTTCGCCTCAGAAATTCCATGGTTGGAAAATGCCGCCCAATAGCCATGGGCTAATAAAGGGAAAGAGCTTTTCTTTCAAACATGTGCACTGAACAGGAAAAGATGACTGAAGTTCAGAAAAAAGAACCATCAAGTCACTTCTAAGGAGGAGCCAATCAGAAGGAACTTTGCATGTGCCTTCTAAGTGGTTCATCAGAAGTGAATAATTGTTTTCACTACTCAGTTGGAATGAGTCAGTATAGACTAACTTACATATACAGTCTTATTGGTTAACGTTACTCCCCTACTGCTGAACTCTGGTCAGGCAAACAGTTGGATCTACAGACTTGCCAAGTGAATGTTTTTAACTAATCAAGAGTCAGAACTTCCTGCTTTTATGTAACAAAATCTTATGGGTTTCTCCACAACTGGAGACTGATACACAAAACAGGAAGGAAAAGGTATCTATAGAAGCTACTCATTTTTGGCAAGTTGTAAGAACATATGGATGCTAAACGAAACAGTATGTATACGACGTCCTAGGAAATATGTTCTATTTAACACGGAAACATTGTAGACTAGCCAAGTTAGTTTTAATTTGGAAACCTTTTGTTTCCAAACTGAAATAGCTTTACAGGTGCCTGCTACTTATCAATCATATAATTCATGTACACATTTCAGCTGGTGATATTCTTACCCAAAAACATGCCAACAAAACATTTTCTTAACTACTAGCAGTTTGCTTCGTTTCCTTTTCCTCTGTGTATATTCTTTTCTGTGTCTATTCCTTAAATGCTCTGTACAATCACATGTAAAACACCCAAGCTAAAAACCTCAATAAAAAACTCCATAAAGATGAAGCAGCAGGACAGTGCAGTTATTATGAACTGGAAGCAAAGGGTTGATATTTTGACAGAGCTTTTTAAAAAAGAAAACAGAAAACTCACGAAGCCACCATCATGCTCAATTGATATGCAAGCGAACTCCTCAGCCGGTGTAAATCTGAATAGGCCCATTCAAATCACTGAGTTACGGATCTGGCTGACAACATACTTCTTGAAAGCCAAGTCACTAGTTAAAAGGCCTGTTATTTCCCCAACACAAATTAATCTGCCTTTGCTTGATGATCTGCTACTTGGTCTAATAGAAGAGCCCCCTACAAATAAGCTTGCCCTGGTAAGCAGAATAGAGGAGACAGGAATTTTGTCCTTATGCTGTGCAGTATTTATGTCATCTCTGTGATGCTATATGTGGTGGTGGTAACACTAGCTTTCTTCATGTCCATGTCCAGTGTGGGTAATGTATTATTGTATGCAGTTCTGTGGCCGCGAGAAAAGCTAAGGAATGCCAAGAGAGTAACATAATGCTGCCCTTCACATATATAGATGACCCAATATCGTAGTGTGCCAGGTGTAATTGACTGCATGTTACCCTACAACTCTGGAAAGGTTATTACCAGGAGCAGGACACTCCTTGGGTAAATTATGGCTGTAATAAAACTGTTTTCAACCTGTCTCCCGCCACTTACCTTTGAGGCATTTACTTCAGCATTTAATTTGGATCCCAGTGGCAGAAAATCTAAAAGTCTGCTTCCAAATGCAGCAAGAGGTTAACACGCTCTGAAGACCTTGTATAATAGTTACAACAAAGATCCCACCTACTTCGATGGCTGTGAAACACCATTGTTTTCGCTGGAGAAAGCTTTTGGGGAGAGCATCAAGAGATAACAACCAGAGCATGAATCAATTGATCCAACAAAAGACTAATGGGAATTTTGAACAAATCCCCTTCACAATAATAATAATCCTGGCATATCAGTTAAAACTTAGATCTCCCCCCCTTCTAGAAGTAGGGGGGAAAATAAGTCATTTGACTGTAGCTTATTCTTGCTTTGGTTATTACTTTGTCTGGCTTGAATGTGCCAAGAACATTGTTGCTTCAGTTTCACGTCCCTTTCAGTCACATTCGATGGCCAGCTATAAAGAAGTGAGTGCACACTCGGGGCTAGCCTGAGAGAACTAACAAGATGATGCTTTATGAGCCAGCACCAAACTCAAATCAGCATTTTAAATAAAACGGGCTGGGATAAGAACTCCGGCGCCCTGCGTTCCACCACCTTTGCAGCAGGAGAATAGTGGCTCAGCGCTTTCTGCTGGAGTCCATGCACATGAGTTCTCTGGAGGGAAAAAAGTCAGGGACTAGGGCTCAGTGAATTATTTTTAGCAAATAGTAAATTGGCTGAAAAATGCATTTTTGGGCCACTGAAACTAATCACGAATTGAGTGAATTAAAGTGAATTAAGTGAATAGTTTTGGCCCAAAGAAATGATTTTTTTAAAAGTCAAAGTGGTTCATTTTGACCATGTTTCAAAATGACATTTTGGTTTGAAATTTAGCTACATTTATTTATCAGAGGGAAACACAAACAAAAAGGGTTAAAAAAAATCCAAAAATGAAACAAAAAATGTTTTTGGGTTAAACAAAACATTTTATTTGACCTGAAACAAAAAATATTTTGTGTTTTTCATTTTGGTGAGAAAAGCCCCAAAATTCAATTTCAGTTTGAATTTTCAAATTCTTTTTCCAGATTTTTTGGTCCTGACCCACCCAAACAAACAACAAAACCCACACAATTATTTGCTCAACTCTTACAGTGCTATTTGTTCCATATAATCAAGTGGGCAATGAAATCTGAGATGAGCCTGGCCATTTGACAGATTCCCCCTTCTGTCCCAAAAAGCAGGGAATGAAGGTCCCAAATGCGTGTTCTGCATGGAGATATACTTGTAAAAAGGAGTTAAGCAGCTAAAAAGCAAACTGCTGTTAGCTTTTCCCTTCCAGTTTCCATGCTCAATTGTGAAATTATTATGGGGTTACCACTGCCAACACGTGTTGCCACAAGGGGGTTTGAGACACACAGTATTCCCATATGGTTGGACTAGGAAATAATTGTGTGCTCTCAGAGCCTGTGCTGTGGAAACACTTGTCAAATGCTGAGTTTTTAAATGGTTAACAAAGAAACATGTAAATTAAATGAAGCATAGTGACCACAGTGAATTCTTAGTTGAAGTCACACACAGTTCTTTACATGTTAATAATTTTATACAAATACCAACAATTACATAAAGCCTTTCCCCGATGAACTCCAAACACTTGACACATGTTCAGGAATTCAGCATTCCCTCGGGAAACTGATGCACTGAAAGTTGTGACCCTCCCAAATTCATAGCATGTCAACGGCAGATTCGGGAGTCCTGTGCCCTAACCACTAGACAAATTCACCCTCCTTGTTAGCTTTACTGATAATGGATCAATTAGATCTGATTTTCAAATGAGTCCAGCAGCACGGTTGAAAACAACGAGAAATTTTCCCCATGTCCAGAAAGACTTATGATGCACTGTCCTTGCTCCTTTGGCCAAGGATAGCTAATGGGACTCTCTTTGAAGCCCAATAACTCTTCAGTGACAAGTCTGTGCTACTGCGGTGCATACTGATGAAAGGCACGCTCTTCCTTGAGTCTGAGTATGCCTCACTCGCTTCACCTGCTCCCAGAGCTCATCATCCTACCAGGTTTTGTTTTCTCCAGTTGTCTCTTTTTAGGTTGGTGATATCCACAATGGAACCCCAACGGAGACATAGCCAGTACTGAGTAGGGTTTGTATGTGACAATGTCACACTGCTAAACCAATCAGTTTACCTTCTAATTCCCCAGACCACCCTTTGGGATTCAGCTTCCCGACCTGTGTTCTCCGCTCTGTATTTGTGCATTTGATTACTCCATTATCTTTGTCCTTACTGAATCTCCTTTTATACAGGTCAGACTATTCCCCAGCTATGCAAACCCATGCTACATTGTTTTGGAGACTTGCAGTAATATAAAGTATGAACTTGATTGCCTGCAGAAATTGTCTGAAACTTACCAAATGAGATTCTTATAAGGACAAAGGTAAAGTGGTTCCACATAAGTTAATTAGTGAAGTCTGTATAGCTTTAGATTCAGATACTGAATATCTAATCTCTGACCTTTTTTAGTAGCCATATTACAAGCTATCTATCTAATCTGTGTTTCTCTAGTTTCCTTAAGAGAATGCCTCAAGGAACTAAATGAAATGTCATATAATGATATACTATGCCCACTGCATTTCCTTTATCCATTCAGCTTGTTATCCTAGCTAAGAAAAATAATTCAAGTTAATTCACCATAATTTGTTATTGGCAAACCCATTTCATCAATTATGTCACCTTCTTTTCCCGTAGATGCTTACAATGTGACTTCAGTATTAAGGACCCAATACCGCAGCACTGACTTCAATGGAAAGACTCAGTTCCATCTGTGGGTGTTGGATTAGGCTCTAATTGTGCTAGAAATGTATTGAGCATTGATGCTAAGCAGAAATGAGAGCACTTCACTAGTTCTGTGCTTCCTCTCTCTCTCTCAAAAAAGGCTCCATGTTTTCCCTTTTCCGGCCTTCTGGGGACCTCATCTCTCCTCTATGAGAGCCAGTGTTTCCATATTCATTCTGTTGGGCCCTTTAGCACTCTAGGCTGAACTTCACTGGCTGCCTGATGAGCTGAATATTTTCCAGTAGTTCGTCTTTAGCCTATTTACTGCCTCGTAACCTCTCTGTTTCCTCATTAACTACGATTGCATTAAGCTGTGAGTTACTCTTATGCTTCTTAAGTGAAGGCTGCAGCAAAGTAGCTATGAGCCATTTCATCTGTCACCCTGACATCTGTTATTTGCTCTTCCTGCCTGTTAAATGCACAACCTAAATTTTATTTAGTCATCTCCACAGCCTCTCATGTACCTGTACACTTCCTTGTTCCCTTTTACGGCCTTTGCTCCTACAGGACCTTAATATCTCCTTATACATCCTCCTCTTTCCCCTGGTAATTTCCCCTTCTTCCCATGTTACCGATTAGCTCTTTTTGCTCTAAATAATTTCAAAGTGTCTGCTTCGCTAATTGCTCTAGCAATTGACTGGGTGTAGAAATGAAACATACTGGCCTGTAATTCCCTCATGTTCCCCTTTTACCCTGCCAAAGATGGATAATCCCAATTAATACATCAGTTCAGTATGGTGAAAGAGGATGACCCAATGTCTTAGTAGAACCCTTATTTCTGATTTTCTAATGACTGTCCTATAATTAAACAGGATAAAAATAAAAGAAATCAATAAAGATATTTATCAAATGGAGAATCACTATATCAATTCTTATCTTGATGCTTGCAGATGGAAGGAATTATGGATTCACTAAAGCAATGCTCCCACCACCTCCTTAGTGCTAAAGAGATGTTTCATTTAGTGCACATCAGCAAGAGGACAGCAGCGTTTTAGGAACCCACAACCTAGTCATCCAGGTAGCTTAGTCTACAGTCCGCTTTACCTGGAAATTTACCTTTGTTCATGCTATACACACAGAGAAGTTAGGTGAAAATATCAGATATTCTTGCTGGAAGGTCGCACCATAACACTTCTTTATATCCTTAGAATCCAGAATTAAAATACTCGGTCATCAAAACACAGAGAGAGACAAAGCAGGCTGCTCCCTAAGGCAGAGAGCACAAGTAACTCCACCTTGTTTTAGCCTGGCTCTTTCCAAACCGCCTCTGAATGTACCCTTCACTACAATGCCCCTTAGTCTGTGTGAGGGACCAGGAATCCCTGCTCTTAAAGCGATAACTTGCCATTCCAACACAATCCTCAATACACCTTGCTGGGTCAAAAGTCTTCCTTTGAGTTTTGGACCATTTGGTAGCATCAAGCTTTCCAGCCTGGTTGGACAGAATCCTGGCATTATTCTTTGTAAGATTTGTGGCCCAATCTGCAAAACCTTATTCATGTAAGTAATGCCATTGACGTCAGTGGGATACTGATGTAAGTAAGGCCTTCCTGCATGACCAATGGTTTGAAGGATCATCCTTCAGTTTTCTGTGTGAGCCAAACATGCAGCTTCTCAGGTTTCCAGTTGCCTCCCCAGTCTGGTTTTAATCAACACCTGTATTCTGTTTTTTAAAAAAATACATTTATTTTCACTGGTTTCACATAACAACTGATTTATTGCAGGGCTCTCCCTCTTGTTTGCTTAAGACAGCAAGGTATCAGAGAATTATATCACTTCCTTTCTCATGTTCCCTCCCTCTCCTGTATTTAATTGTAGATCTAGCTTATTAACCA